CCAGGCGCTAGGTCGCCATGGCGACTAGAAATGGCATCCTGGTGCCCGGGTTTATACAGATCTCTACTGAAATCACAATGTCATTCTGGTTTCTGTGCGATTTCAGTACAGGTGCCACTTTGTCTCCCTCTCTCACCAGGACTGCCTCCTATTGACTCTGATGCAAAAACGCCGCCCGTTGACTTCAGTGCAAAAACTCCTGTCAATAGCAATCCTATGTGAACACTTATCTCCGCATAGCACTCTAACGCTCGTGAGTCTGGAACGCACAGCTGCAAACTCCCACAGGACCCTTTTCGTAATGGCACTTAAAACACAATGCGAGTGCATCGCATCTGTGTGAATCTCCTCTATAGGAACCCATAATATCTAGCCTGTCATTCAAATCTGTGAGTATGAAATCACATCCAGAATCACAGGATGGCTCCATTCACACCCGGGTGTTTTGGGATCTCAGCAGAATTGCTGCGACCACAAAACACAGGTTCAGGTGCCATTATTTTCAATGGCACCTAGAACGTGGTGCTGTTTTGACGTGATTGGTGCATTGAGCTTTTTACCCCAAGCGCTGACAACTCGTGCTACGCTAAACGAAAACACTGGCTACTAACATTTTTTAGCTGGCTCCTGGATTCAAAGCATATTTGTCAAGCCCTGGTAGAGAACATTGTAAGGACATGACATGACCTGCAAGAATGTATTCTATAGAGAACGTTGTGACGTTTGGATGGGGCCAGTCTGAGCCGGGTTCCCTGGTAAGGTTTGGATGGGGCCAGTCTGAGCGGGTTCCCTGGTAAGGTTTGGATGGGGCCAGTCTGAGCGGGTTCCGTCTCAAAGTTGAATGGGGCCAGTCTGAGCGGGTTCCCTCAAGGTTGAATGGGGCCAGTCTGAGCGGGTTCCCTGGCAAGGTTTGGATGGGGCCAGTCTGAGCGGGTTTCCGTGGCAAGGTTGGGATGGGGCCAGTCTGAGAGGGGTTCTGTGGCAAAGTTGGCACAGGGCCAGTCTGAGCAGGTTCCGTGGCAAGGTTGGGACGGGGCCAGTCTGAGCGGGTTCTGTGGCAAGGTTTGGAATGGGGCCAGTCTGAGCGGGTTCCGTGGCAAGGTTTGGACGAGACCAGTCTGAGCGGGTTCCATGGATTTGGATGCGGCCAGTCTGAGCGGGTTCTGTGGCAAGGTTGGATGGGGCCAGTCTGAGCAGGTTCCGTGTGGCAAGGTTTGGGGCCAGCCTCAGCGGGTTTCGTGGCAAGGTTGGCACGGGGCCAGCCTCTGAGCGGGTTTCGTGGCAAGGTTGGCACGGGGCCAGCCTCAGCGGGTTTCGTGGCAAGGTTGGCAGCCTCAGCGGGTTTCGGGGCCTCAGCGGGTTTCGTGGCAAGGTTGGCACGGGGCCAGCCTCAGCGGGTTTCGTGGCAAGGTTGGCACGGGGCCAGCCTCAGCGGGTTTCGTGGCAAGGTTGGCACGGGGCCAGCCTCAGCGGGTTTCGTGGCAAGGTTGGCACGGGGCCAGCCTCAGCGGGTGTCGTGGCAAGGTTGGCACGGGGCCAGCCTCAGCGGGTGTCGTGGCAAGGTTGGCACGGGGCCAGCCTCAGCGGGTGTCGTGGCAAGGTTGGCACGGGGCCAGCCTCAGCGGGTGTCGTGGCAAGGTTGGCACGGGGCCAGCCAGCGGGTGTCGTCAAGGTTGGCACGGGGGCCTCAGCGGGTGTCGTGGCAAGGTTGGCACGGGGCCAGCCTCAGCGGGTGTCGTGGCAAGGTTGGCACGGGGCCAGCCTCAGCGGGTGTCGTGGCAAGGTTGGCACGGGGCCAGCCTCAGCGGGTGTCGTGGCAAGGTTGGCACGGGGCCAGCCTCAGCGGGTGTCGTGGCAAGGTTGGCACGGGGCCAGCCTCAGCGGGTGTCGTGGCAAGGTTGGACGGGGCCAGCCTCAGCGGGTGTCGTGGCAAGGTTGGCACGGGGCCAGCCTCAGCTCAGCGGGTTGTCGTGGCAAGGTTGGCACGGGGCCAGCCTCAGCGGGTGTCGTGGCAAGGTTGCACGGGGCCAGCCTCAGCGGGTTTTGTGGCAAGGTTGGCACGGGGCCAGCCTCAGCGGGTTTCGTGGCAAGGTTGCGATGGGGCCAGCCTCAGCGGGTTTTGTGGCAAGGTTGGCACGGGGCCAGCCTCAGCGGGTTTCGTGGCAAGGTTGCGATGGGGCCAGCCTCAGCGGGTTTCGTGGCAAGGTTGGCACGGGGCCAGCCTCAGCGGGTTCCGTGGCAAGGTTGCGATGGGGCCAGTATGAGCGGGTTCCGTGGCAAAGTTAGCATGGGGCCAGTCTGAGCGGGTTCCGTGGCAAGGTTTGGATAATGTCAGTCGAGCGGGTTCCATGGCAAGGTTTGGACGAGACCAGTCTGAGTGGGTTCCATGGTATGATTTGGACAGGGTCAGTCTGAGCGGATTCCATGGCAAGGTTTGAATGGGTCAGTCTCAGCGGGTTCCCTGGCAAAGTTAGGATGAGGTCAGTCTGAATGGGTTCCATGGAAAGGTTGGGATGGGGCCAGTCTGGGCGGGTTCCATGGCAAAGGTTTGGATGAGGTTAGTCTGAGCAAGGTTGGGATGGGGCCAATCTGAGCGGGTTCCATGGCAAGGTTGAGATGGGGCCAGTCTGACCAGGTTCCATGGCAAGGTTGGGATGGGGCCAGTCTGAGCAGGTTCCATGGCCAGGTTGGGATGGGGCCAGTCTGAGCGGGTTCTATGGCAAGGTTTAGAAGGGGCCAGTCTGAGCGGGTTCCATGGCAGGTTTGGGAGGGGCCAGTCTGAGCGGGTTCCATGGCCAGGTTGGGATGGGGCCAGTTTGAGTGGGTTCCATGGCAAGGTTTACATCATGCTGCAGTTCCATATCAGAGATGAGATTCAGAAAAGGAGGGGATCTGGCTCAGGCTGGACGTTGTCACCGGGACTGATGGTTGTCACCACATTGAGGGAAATCTCTCACTGGGGTCACCTGTTCAGGATTAGCAGTCTTTGGATTTGTATCCCTGCTGCCTCCAGGAGAGCTGAGATGATATTTGCTCTGAGTGTGGAGGTGTATTATTACACCATGGACTGTACTCATTGCTGTACAGCTACAACAGAGTATATTCTATGGGGACCCCTGTACAGGTCAGAAGGTGTGCAGAGTATGGGGCCCCTTCGCGGTGAATCCTATGTAACTTCACGCTGCAGATGTGCTGCGCTTTGAAGAGTCCTGCATGCTGCATCTTTGATGTGGTTTTTGAAAAACGCACCAAAAAGACACCTTCTGTTATAATCAGGGGCGGACTGACCATTTGGAAACTTGGGCACTGCCTGACGGCCCGGGGTCAGTATAGGGCCCCATGAGATGCCCCTGGTACCTTTTTCATAGTCTTTTTTGAGTTTGGGCAAGGACACAGGGGCCCCATGATCCCCTATTGCCCGGGGGCCCCATGAGTTGTCAGTCCGCCCCTGGTTGTAAGTCAGTGGGAACACTTCAAGAGCTCAGGAGTGTGAAAGGGCCTTTAAGGGGCACCAAAGCGCATGCGTGTGAAAGAGCCGGTGTAGTTTTTCTTTACGAAGCACACAACCCAAATAGAAAAGTTGGTCCCCTGCCAGCATGCAGCAGAGAAGGACCCTTGATTTTTGTGGGAAAGCAGAGGTCTCTCTGCAGAGGTTTGCCACACCCACTGCTGACTCAGAACTGGAGCTGTCCAATGAGCAAAGCTCGTGCTGCCTACTGATTGGAGAACTCTAGCTCTGACTCAACAATGGGTGTGTCAGACCTTTGCAGAGAGACCACTGCTACCCTCCAGAGATCAGGGGCCGTCTTTGCAGCATGCTGGCAGGGGACAGACCTTTCTACTCAGGCTTATAAAGCAGCAAGTTCAGCTTAAGTGACAGTTGTCAGCAGAGAAATCTGGAAGCTGCCCCTTCATGGGCTTGTTTTGGAGCGGGTGTCTGGCTGTGTCTTGTTAGTAAATATGACAGCACAGGGCTTTGCAGAGTCCGGGATGTCAGAGACGTATCACAGTTCCTGTTTACTGGACGTTCATGTATAATCATCAGCAGGAAAGTCCAGAAGTTTCAGGAGGAGAGATCCGTGTCGGCAGTGACGGATTTCTCTTGTGAGAATGGAAAGTAGATCTGTGCTGGAACTACAAGTATCAGCATGCCCTGCCAGCTTACTGATGGGGCTGCCTGCATGGCAGGGTATTCTGGGACTTGTAGCTCCCCCGGCTGTCACAGATCTCTGTAATTTTTGAGGGACTGCCAGATGTCTGTGTGATATTTCTTCTTCTTCGGCCTCATCATGTGCCGATTATTATCGGCCAGGAAAAGATGTTTGCGTTTCCAGCGGAGTGTTTTCTACCTCCACCATTGTGTGAGTCGGTCTGTTCCGATGATCGGGACATCACACTGGATCAAAGAGGGTGGAGAGAAGGCGGCCATATTGGGACTCCAAACCCATCGGTCTCAGTACTTCAAGTGCCCACATGCACCAGCCTTAAACCCCTCGCCTACAGAGCACTTATACCTCCTTCCTGCCCAGGCCAATTTCCACTTTCACTTTGAGTGAAAATTGCGCGGTCATGCAACACTGTACCCATATGAAATTTTAATCATTTTTTTGTGACAGATAGAGCTTTATTTTGGTGGTATTTAATCACCTCTGGGTTTTATTTTTTCTTAAACCAAAAACCACTGAAAATTTTGAAAAAAAAAAACTTTTTCATAGTTTTTGCTATAAAATTTTGTAAATAAGTGATTTTCTCCTTCACTGATATGCGCTAATGAGGCTGCAGTGATGGGCACTGATAGGTGGCACTGATAGGCACTGATGAGGAGGCACTGGTAGGTGGCACTGATAGGCACTGATGAGGAGGCACTGGTAGGTGGCACTGATTTGCATTGACAAGCATCACTGATGGGCACTGTTAGGCAGCACTGATACATGGCACTGTTAGGCAGCACTGATACATGGCACTGTTAGGCAGCACTGATACATGGCACTGTTAGGCAGCACTGATACATGGCACTGTTAGGCAGCACTGATACATGGCACTGTTAGGGCAGCACTGATACATGGCACTGTTAGGCAGCACTGATACATGGCACTGCACTTAGGCGGCACTGATACATGGCACTGATAGGTGGCACTGACTGGCAGCACTGATAGGTGGCACTGACTGGCAGCACTGATGGGTGACACTGAAAGGCAGCTCAGATGGGCACTGATATGCGGCATTGATGCGCACTGGTAGGCATTGATATGTGGCACTGATGGGCACTAGCATGAGGCACTGATGAGCACTGGCACAAGGCACTGATGGACACTGACAGGTGGCACTGCTGGGGTTACACCGATCATCAGGGCATTCAGTGCCCTGATGATCAGTGTAGATGTCCCCTCAGTGGAAAGCCGATTACCGGCTCTCCTCTCCTCTGTCAGTGTCACAGCTCGAGAGGAGAGAAATGCCGATAACTGGCATTTCCCTATTTACATGTGATCAGCTGTGATTGGACACAACTGATCACGTGACCGAGCCGACATCTTTGGCTCTTTCCGTGATCGGTGATCTGCTGTGTCCGAGGGACACAGCACACCACCGATCGCCGTGCTGCGCGCTCCCTGAGCCGTGCATGCGCGGTGAGAATGGGAGGACGTCATATGACGTCCTCCCAGAACGAGAGAATCACCTTGCGTCTGTCATATTACCATATGGCGGGCGGGAGGCAGTTAAGGCCAAGAATTTTTTTTTGCACTTTAATTTATTTTGGATGGCGCCCCAACACCAAGGCAGCACAGTTCTGCTGTACATGGGTAGCGGAGCAGCACAGCACATGGCAGCGCACTATTGTGTATTGTGGAGCCTTGTGTCAGGAGAAAGGCTGCATGGTGTTCTGTCCGCTCCTGTGCCTTGGATTCCCATTCAGGGACCATTCACAGCACATGGAGCCCTTTACAAAGTGCCTGCATTTTTCTCAATAAATGAAAATCTTTCTCTATTTGGTCGAAGTGGAAATTGTGACATCACTGCCCTGCCTGTCCATCTTGTCCAATCAGAGAAAGGCTTGCACTAATTGAGGAGAATGCAAAGTGTTCTGTGAATGGCAGGGTGACCCCCCATCTGTGTTCACCAAGCAGTGGTACAGCCATTTATCAAGGGATCTGGAAAATGGTGGTGATCTCTGTAGTAGCAGCGACTACTAGGCGATTCTTCCCCTCTGCATCGGTCCTACAAGTAAACCGTATGCATGCCTAACATTTGGTCCAAGCTGCATGAAAGTAACTGCCGTAAATTCCATACCTTACCTGGAGTCCAGCGTCCCTCACTGTTGATAAACAAAGGGGCGGGGATTCCGGGTGATGTCATTCTCCAAGTATGGCTATGACTGTGCAGCCAGCTGTCTTAGCAACCAGTGACTCTGTACAGTCTATGGCATCATAGCAACCAGGGATGCCTTGGAGCCTGGGGGTCGAACAAGCACACATCAATTTGTTGCAGACTCTGATATTTGTAGTGCAGAGGCCTGACACAGTTCTATAGAGAGTCTAATACACTTCTTATGAATTCCAGTGATTGGACCTAAAGGGTCCTTTTGGTTCTCCTGTTCTGTCTTCTTACAGGTGGGCCCCACAATAGAGGGGTGGGCCCCACAATAGAGGAGTGGGCCCCACAATAGAGGGGTAGATCACATAATATACTCTACCCCCTGAGATTCCTGGTTTTCCTATAAAACCCCGATGACTGCTCCCCCCCACTGACAGATGAAGCAGATACATACAGCTTGTGGGACAGAAATACATGTGACATTTCCCGGAGGGGGTCAGCCAGAGGCTGCTGTGTGTCAGGCCAGGGCACATCAATACATGGCGGACGTGCGTGTGTGTGTATATATAGAGCTACAGCCTGACGTCCCTCATCTGTATGTCATGCCTCCTGGTAACGGCTGCCTGTGTCATAGGAACAGACAGTATAGAGCGCTGGATCATTAATAAGGGAACGTTGCAGTGGGAATTATCAGCCACCTGTAAACCAGAAATATTACATGGGGCCCCATTCATTAGAGTCTGAATCTCATTGGTTGCTATGAGGTAACACAAACAGTCCTTATTAACATGAGGGGGGTGCATAGTGGTTAAAACTGAACTCCATACATTAATGCAGCTCTGTAATTCTTCATTTATCTTTAAATGTGAATTTTATTAAATTTGACCTGGTGTCAGCTTCATGCAGTTTCCTGGACAGCAAAGCTCAAACTGGGGGAGGGGGAAGCAGCACAAGAGCCAATTGGGGGGTGCTGCACTGCAAAAAGTATACCGATAGGAGGAGAGAGTAAAGTGATGGGGAGATGAGCCCATAATGGAATACAGGCGAGTATTGCAGCCAGAGCTCTTTATTTTTTTTTTTCTTCTTTTATAATGGCCTTTGGGTAACTTTTTGAACAGTAAAGGTTTTTGCCAGACTTGGAATGTAAGATCAGATTGTATAGAAATCTACATTTTACGTAATCATCGGGCTGCATTTGCACATTGACATCAGTTTTGCATGAAGGGACCTATCATGTCTGTCAGTTATTCAGATGGACCTGATCGGACCCTCTACCCACCCTTATGGACCAGTGTACTTGTGTTGGTTTATGCCTGCCATCCTCCAATGTGATCCGGAAGGGGATCCATCACCCCTGTCTAGGTGGATTGGAGGGCCGTTGGGTATAATCGGACCGGAAAGCTCGTTTACACCCGACTGACCATAAAGCAGAGCGGGTTGTGTCTGTGTCAACTCTGCATTAACTGAGCGGACACGGATCCGCCCGCTCTGCTCTGTTCGGTGGGGATCATATGAGAGATCTCTTGCTGATCAATCAGAGTCCACCCCGTTTGAAAGGGACCTAAAATCTGCCTTCCTGCCCCAATGCAGGGGGATGTGTGTGTTTTAGGGTGTTGGCACCTCAACATATACACAGCATTGCAGCACCCTGCATTGACCAGAATAGTGCAGGTACGTTCTTTCATATTTTGAGGTGCATTGAAGGTGAATGAGCCACCCATCGTAACCTGCATCAAAAAGGCACGATAACACTTTAATGGGCTTTAAAGTGGTTCTAAAGCCTGAAGGTTTTTTACCTTTGTAACGGAACTGCAGCCCGACTGCGTTTGGGTATTTCCCGCTCTCCTGTCCGAACACCATCCACGGACCCCACCGCTGACCATACAGGAAATAGACAGCACCAGACTCTTCTTAAGACAGGAGGTGAACCTGCTTTATTTTAACACAAACACAAGATATATACACAGGGCGAGGAAATACAACAGGAACAGGAAACACATCAGCAGGCTGTCCCATCAGGGGGAAGGGCTGCCAGAAACACCCCCCCACCAAACCAAGACACACAATAGAACAATGGAACAACCACATGGCAGTAAACAATGAACAACCCCCACACGCAACCTATACATGTCTACACAATATCAGGACAGATCACCCTGCACCCCTACCAGGCACAGGGTGCCTTACACATAAGAGGGATTTGGGGAGATGATACTGGAGTCCCCCCACCCTCAAAAGTCACTCCTGTCACAACCTTTATGCATTCTATGTATGAAGGTAGAAAACACTCAGTGTGCAGCTACCCCCAGCCCCCCAATACTTACCTGAGCCCCATTACGATCCAATGCTCTGCATGAGAGCCTCAGCTCTCCCAGGTCTCTCCTTGTTGGTTTTTGGCCATTTGCTCCTGCTGCTGCCAACCACAGCCACTGAAGAGGTGATGGGGCTGAGCCGCACTCTGTGTGTCTCTTGGGACACGCAGAGGCAGTTTGGAGTGAGCACGCATGAGTGCCCCCAGAGTAAGCAGCTTGCTGTAGGGGCACTCAGCGGGGGGGGGGGGGTGGCTGGAGTGCCAGCGGGGAGGCCGGAAAGAGGAGGATCTGGGCTGCTGTGTGTAAAACCATTACAGAGCAGGTAAGTATGACATGTTTGTTATTAAAAAAATAAAATGGACCTTTAGTATCACTAGATTGTATAGAACAGTGACTGAGCATGGTGGGACATTTTGCAGTGACTCCGTACAGATGGTGGGCACACATTTTACAATCTCTTTTTTGTTATTTTTATTTTTGTACCTTTTAACCGCAGTTGTTCAATGAATCCTGAGCTCTCCAGGTTTTCACCCCATGCGTTTTTTTGGAAAGGGTCAGGGACTTTTTTGAATGCAAAAAGTTGTGTGTTTGGTTCTAAAGACTTCAATGGAAACTCTGCAGAAAAACGTTTAGTGCGTTTTTGCTGCATTTTTTTATGTGTTTCGCATTTTAAATCTGCCTAGCAACAAGAAGAAAAAAAATGTGGCAAAAACGCAAAACACACTGCAGAAACGGATCAAAAGTAAACTGCATAGGTGTCATCCTAACGTAAGGCTGCTTTCACATCGATGCACTTAAGTTTACCCGCAGTGCGGTGCGTTTGCAGCTTTCCTGCGAGGTAGCTGCACTTTGCCATAGACGTCTGTTATATCTTGCGGCTGTGGTGCATTTTCTGGAAGCACACTAAAACTCCTGCATTCAGTTTGACGTTGAGGGCTACATTAGAGGGCCATGGGTTGAGCACCGCTGTTTTAGAGGTTCCTATTGGGTATAAAGGTTGAGAAAATTTGTTCTTACTATCTAATATGACGGTGCCATGTGACATGGCGGCTGTCTTGTTAACCGGTTCCCGCTTTGCCAATAGCACAAAGGCGGCCGGATAAACAGCTCGTCGTGCGCCCGCCCACAGGGCCGCTCTGCGGCGTGATCTGTCACCGGCCGTGTACCTCAGACACGGCCGATGACAGATCTGTGTACCGGCCCCGTTTCCAGTATCATGAGACATGCTGTGACCAATCACAGCAGGTCACATGACAGTTGTATACAATGGATAGCTTCCTTTCATGCCATCCGTTGTATACAAGTGTGTCTAGCTGTGAATGGTCACAGCAATCACATGCACAAGCTGGGCTAATCACAGCTCAGCTCTGTCATGTGATTAGCCGTGGCCAAATCACAGCTAAGCACAAAAAAAAACCTGAATGAATCGACATCATTCAGGTAAATGCTTGTTTATAGCAAAGTAATTCTTTGCTCCCGGAGTGTGCGCGGCGATCGGCGGTGCGCTGTGTCCCTCGGAAACAGTGGATCACCGATCCACGGAAAGAGCCAAAGATGTTGGCTCAGTCTTGTGATCAGTTGTGTCCAATCACAGCTGATCACATGTAAACAGGGAAATGCCGGTTATCGGCATTTCTCTCCTTCGAGCTGTCACGCTGAGGGTTTGGTGTCCAGGTAAGTCTGTCATAGTAATCCAAAAACAAACAAAACCAGCGCTCAAATCTTCATGCAGACTAAAGGGTATTCGGAATGCCAAACGGTGAGGTGCAGCCCTTCATAGTTCAGGAAATCTGGGTACTGCTAAACAAAAGCAAACAAGGGCTCACTCTCATCATGCATTACCGTGGTGCACCACGTATTTATTGAGAAAACGAAATAGATATATACTCACAAACCAAAAGAGAATAGAAACAGAACAGGTGGTCTTCAATATCAGTCCAGCGCAATACTGCGCCCTAAA